ATTTGATCAAATTTAATTGTCTTTTTTAAGTAATAATAAACCATTGCCCATTGGATTCACATTTTATTTCAAACATGAATCTGATGCGTCTTATGATTCATTTTGTGAAATACATAAGCATTACTTTATCTGGGAGACTTGATATTACAAAAAAAGTCATTTGATACAATAAAAACTATATTTTTAAATTCTATACATGTATTTGTTTCAGACTGTGACCGCCATGACAATCCATAATAGAGATTTCCAATAAAATGACATACGTACGTAACTCGACGTACGAACCTAATGGGACTGGTTATTGTCAACCATTGAATTTAATTAAATACGTCGCTCAAGTTTAAATAAAGTATTCCAAGACTTTTAAAATCACACACTGGAATTTTCGTCCATATAAAATAATTTTATCATGACGAAAAATAATAGAAATCTTGCATTTTTATTTGTCACGTGGTTTTCCAGATTCCCGCCTTTATTTCCACTGACATAAGATCACGTATCCCATACCTATCATACGTACGATTTGAATTATCTTTCATGGTTTTGATTATGATAATTGTTTTTTCAATATACTTTGCAGATGAACGCCCCCATTATACCTTTATCTGTCTTTCTTTATAGTTTATCTATCTTTTTATTATATTTGTTGTGGGATAAATATTTAGGAGGACATTTTTCTGACAATTTCAGAAATATCGAAACCAGAGTTTGTCAGAATCTGTCTCTTTATAAAAGTTGAAAATTGAGATAAAACTATCGCTTCCATTTAATTTCTAAACAAAAGTATTTTTCATTTATTATAAAATGTATTGATAACAAAAACCCTATATATGTTGTTCTTTAGAATTAAGGTGTGTTCGATTAGGGATTGTTCTGTAGTAATTTGTTTAACGGAAATGCTATCGGAGTCCAAATACAAAAGACATTTCTAAGCATTTTTTATATATCCCTTGAAGTAAATTAACTTATTGTATTTTATACATTTTATTGATAAGCAATTAAAAGGAGGTCACCGAATTCATTTTACTGAATAAATCATAAACGGAAATGTGTAAGGTAAGTAACATTGAACAACATAACATAATAAGATTTCGTTGCCAGATGCGGATCCAGGATTTTGAAAAAAGGGGGGATATAGGCAACGTTAGAAGTGGAACAAAAATAGAAGTAATAATAGGATGTAGGGCCATATATATAAGTGTTCGTTGCATATTTTTTCAGATGCATATTTAGGACGAGAAGATGAATATCAACTAGACTTTGTATTATACCGCAGGAAGACATGTCATCCTACCTGGACACATGATTTTGACCCAGACCGACCATTCCTTCTTCTAACTCATTAATATTGCGTGCTTGGCAGAGAGGCAGCCAATCTTCGATTTGAAACGGGCGAGGATCGAGCCCAAGACTTCTTGCACTCGAGCAGTGGTGTATCTTTCATTGACGCCATGAGGCAACCGCCTCACCAAATTTTGACCATTAAAAAAGAGAGCTAAAGGGAATTATATACCATGTACGTCATAGTATAAAGTATACTGAGTGACGACGGTTCAAAACGTTGACTGCTTTACTCTTTACTTACTCATTCCTCATTATTCACGACTTGAAATCTTCCTTTCATAAAATGAACAAGGTAGATGCAAATATCTTTTTTTAGTAACAGACAAAGAATACCTCACAAAAAAACTGACTCAAACAAGAGGTCATAACTGTGAAACTGATATAATGCTTGATTTTTTTTAACAACGAACTTGTTACTTTTGGTGGACAAAGTTTTCAACAGATCGACACTTGACATTCCTACATTTTATGTAGTACTCTTCTACCTTGGTTAATATAAGCAAGACTTCATAGTTCACCCAGTTATTATCATCCATACATTTTGACAAAAGCTAAACGTATAAAGTTAAAAGACATAGTGGACCTTAAACTTAATATCCCCAAATCTGTACAAAAGCATTTTAGGGGAGGTCATACTTATAATTCTGTCAATTATTTTGTTTTGATCAGGACCTGTCTGTAACTGAATACTGAGAATTAAACCTTTACCCAGCGGTTTCATTGAAATATATTGATTTAATGCGCACTAGAAATATTATTTCATGAAAAAATTCCACAAATTCTCTCTACCAGAGGCATCGGATTTAATGTCCCCACTCTGATCGGACTGGACTGCTTACTTGTAGATTCCACACAACCAAACGGACTCCCCACTTTTGGCAATGGTTTAACTGCCGATCGGAACAAGACCAATAGTGACCATATTTCTATTCCCCTGATCACATTTGAGGGGTTACTGTCGAGACGAGCGCGCGGGCAAAGAGACAGTTATGAATATAGAAGATACATATACATGTACGTGTACTAATCAAAACATTTGCAGCAAGAATATGTGGCCTTAAGACACCGTGCCCCTTCACATGATCATATTTCCATGTTCAGTGCACCACTTAATCCGTGTCAAACTCTAATTTGATATATGATATATAATTTTAAACGTTTTACATTTTGAACAGAGCGTAAGAACGGACGGATGCACAGACCAGTAAATATAATATCCCCTTCTTATCATAAGTTAGTCATAAAACTAAAATGATCATCCTATTTAACAAATCTCCAATCAAATATTCCGTATATGTCCGTTTTTCATACATATTTGTATTAGTTGAACGCCAAACATTTTAGAAAATCAATTTTAGAGCAATGACGTTAAATTGTGCATACGTTTGTACGGGCTCCTCCTATAATCCATGCATCATTAAAATTAAAGACAAGATATAAAAAAAATTAACTGATTCAGTAAAGTGTAATCATATTTTTTCTTGAAGATTCGTCCTCATAAATTCCATTTGATAAAATTCTACGAAAAGGTGACAAAGTACTATCAGAAAGATGAATCAGTGATCTGAATTTTTACCTTTGACAAAAGTAACTTGAAATAAATTATAGAAGTATGCTAAAAAAAAAGAAGAAGAAGCAAGTCGTGTACACCTTTTACATTCCGGCGTGTTTGAAACTCTTTAAATCGAAAATGGGAAAATGATCTCACTTCAGATCCCATTATTTTTATTTTTTAACTTAACTTAATTTTGATTTAGTAGCTTTAAGAATTCATCGTTTAAGAGATAAATATATGGGTCAAGTGAAATGACGAAGTAATGATCGGTGCGTTTGATTACCGGTAACTGAATTAATTATTCACTTTAAATGTTGTTGTCAATGAAATCATCCCAAATTTAATAACAAATTTAAATATGTAAAGAATTAAAAAAGTAGTTTGTGCAAATTTTTATATAGCATCTATTCCAACAAAGTATGTGTATTCAACGAGCCAAAAATTCATGCAGTCTATTCTCCCCTCTGTCATCCTTCAATGCAATAAGCCGAGATACGGTCAGATAGGTTGGTTATGTCGGGTAATGTCATTTTATTGGAAATCTCTAATAGACATGAGTAGACTTCCTCTAGTCATCTTTACAACATTTTTTTATTTTTTTGACACCCCTGAATATTTGTAATATAAATTGCCATTGGCTGCACTTGACACTGGTAAGCTTTAACTTTTCAAATTTCATGAAGATCAAAACAAAAACTGGTATCGCTACATTTTTCTATGTTATCAATTAACCACGAGTTAAAGTTTGTTTGATCCGAAGACGACTTTTTCACAAAAACAAGTTTTGTGATTATAAATATGTTTTGGTTACCTTCTCGTCTAGCTACATTGCTTTCGGAACTCATGTGCAAGACTGGAAATCATGAACAGGAAAGCAGTTTCTTTGAACAGAGTTATAGAACAAAGCGAACGACCACGCAGATGGCGCTGTATGTTCATTTCCGTGAATCGAGATTGAAACGGACGACAATTGTAGATCAAAATAACTAAAACAAGACATAAAAACGCCGAAGATTACCATGTAACCTATTTAAACGTCGAGAAAAATATTTCGTGAGACAACGGATCTCATTCGTTAAAAATTAAGTGAGTTTTTCAAACGAAATGTATGTTGATTTCCCAACCTGAACCTCCAAAGTGAATGTAGGTCATTCATCGAAGGCTAAATACCTTCTTCATTTTTCACTTGTGGTTCGTGTGAATAGTAGAAAAGGTATTGTAATTGGCTAGTAATTGGTTCATGAGTCTTGTTATATATCTTATCATTTAAAAAAACGTAAATATGAATAAAAAATAGAATCTGATTTGTTTTATATTTGGACCAAAAAAAGGTGGCCCATGCCCCAAATATATGTTTCATATGTAGGCACTGCTGGAATGTCGCCAACCCAATTTCTAGATGTAAGTCAAGATATAAGGCAAACTTAATTGTGTATGTTTATCATTTATTTTATGGTGATAGATGCGTTTAACATAGTCATCAACATTTGATTTATTTAGTGAGAGACATCATTTATATAGCGGAACGTGAAGTGTAAAGGATAATGCTAGCAGCTTTTCATTCTTCCTTTAGAAACTCCTGTATGAAATAAGCCTTATATGAATAAAGAAACAAGTCAACAAGAAGAGGAGGCTCAGTTGGTTAACCCCCATTGGAATTATTGTTAAAAAAAACACGTTCTGGATGTTTATATTTGTTCGAAGTTGCATCGCACAGCGGAACAGTTTCTTTGAAGGTTTACAAGTTCTTTTGTTACGTATAAGGCAAGTCTGATATGTTTCAAGTTTAAATGTACAAAACAAAAATAAGTTTCTGTGAAATTTCATTCATGCAACTGCTTTTGATAATATAGATTAATTGAAAGATTGGTCTTTTAAACCATATTGTGTGATTCTTTGTCTTCCAATGACCATAACATCTACACATTTGAATAGGAAATGTTGAGCCTTATTTTGTGCACTGCTGCACTTTCGAAACAATAAATCACATCTATTATTCCGATATTTAAATAATTGATGTCAAAAAAGAGATCCAATAAGCAATAATAACTAATACACTTGAAGATATTTGTGTTCTAGTATTAAATATATAGTGAAGTACCTTTTATCATGTTTTTAACAGACTCTAGTACATCATTATATCTGTCGTCCTGAAATGTATTTTAAAGATACTAATAATTCTCAAGTTTAAATTTTACATATGTAAAAAAAATTATTTTTGTTTGATATATATGTTTTATATAAGAACTGTCTTACATTATCTAATTTTCATTATATGTCATTGCAAAGAAATTAGCACATAGCACATATTTTTTCATCCCAGCTGTGGCATTACTCTGTTAGGACCAATTGAATTGCAACTGAATAGATAGAATGAACACCGAAACTTCTTGAATATCTTTAACTCACTAGTTCATTCATCTTAGGTTCCCGTGCGTTGGTTTGCAGTCACCAATTGGTTATTCTAAAACCGGCATGAATACTATTGAGGGACCCACGAAGAGTACATGGTTTAACGCTACATGTTGATTATTCTTAGATTTTATCTAAGATAATGTGCTTGTACTCACAAAATTAGTTTGTCTAAAAATTCATGATAAGTATTTTTGTGGAAATATAGGGATACCTAAAATGAGTGCAATCAAGTTTATTCCTAAATTTACACCAAATTGAAGAATTTATTTAGGTTTGTTTCTTTCTGTCGATGTCTCATATTTAAAGTTTTCCTGCGCTACATAAATTTTTATGATATATATGACATAACCAAAATAACATGAAGTTTTACAACTGTAGGTCATAATATTTCAATGCTCTTTAGCTTTTTATGCTATGAAGATAGTATCTCTATTAGCAAACAAGAAAACTAATTAAAAACATTTGAAGCCATATCATTAATATGGTCAAAAAAATGAATAACGAAAACCACCTAATATCAATTTTGCCTCGTGAGTTTCAACGTGAGGTTCCTTTAAATTTACAATATTTATCATCTGCCAATTCAAGTCAAGTCCAAAAGGAGGAGAATCGAGCTTCACATGAGTTTAAACTTGTTTTGGTAATCGTATCAGTATGTACTTTTTCCGTAGACATGTCTTATTGATTTTGATTTGTTTCATATGATTGTCAGTTTTGTCTAAATTAGTACCGTCGACCCATTAATAATATTTATAACAATTACTCATTTATTATTTCTCATTCATGTCTCGATTTGGTTGTCCATTATGGAATATTTGTGTCATAGATTACTAAAGATTCATTCCAATCGCCGAAACGACAATCTGTCCTCTTTTCCACGATTTTGACTGCACCGAATGATACTTCTCGTCCAATTTGTACTTGTCATGAGTAGCACGACGAATGTCACGTGTGCAGCAGGATCTTATTCTTTCGGAGCAAATGATAATGCCCATGGTTTTTCCTGTTGTGTTTTGAGGGGCTTTTGTTTGTCTTTTCGTCGATTTTACCATGATTTTACCGGTTTTGTCCGACTTTTTGTAAGAGTCCCTTTGGTCTCTTCTGCCATTTTTTATTGATATATCGTAGAAATCAAACATCGCCCAAGTATAAAATCAATCTTTGTATGATAAACATTTAGCGAAAGTAAACGTTGTGCCAATAAAGCAAAGTGACTCAAATAACAAAACTTTTAGAATGCAATGCATTGCTCTTCGGATTTGAGAAAATGACTCTATACGTACCTTCAAACGTTCAAGTCTTTTTTTTATCTGTTTGTGATACATATTTCCAACCGTGTTAGCTATTTTCAAAATAGTTTTCTTCGTTTTTGGAAATCTCTGGTCATAATAATCTTTTTCTACCTGCTCGTGGCTGATATGGTTTCTTGTTTCCTTGATATAGTCGAGCCATTTTGGTTTCCCAGGAGGTGTTGATTTACAGCAATGCTTGATAATGTTGCACGTAAAATTGATATCCATGATATCGATTTCAACGTTTTGTTTTACAGATATAGGACACACACAGTCTTGAATAAGTGATTTCCTTTTGTCATCTGTCTTCAAATGATCTTTGTCTTTTTGTGTGTCATTTATATCATATAGCCGCTCAAACTGGTGTTTCGATATCTTAAATTTCTTTTTGTTTTTTCCTAAGACTGTGTCCTCTTTACATTGGCAACATGGATTTTTTGAATAAGCCGCATAAAATAAAATGTGTTTAATATCTTCCAAAAAAATTTTAAACGGTTTGTTTTCTAATATTTTCAATTCAAAATAGTTATGCAGTACATCTAACGCAATTGTTGTAATTTCAATAAGATTCGATAGAAACAGATTATCGTCCATCTCTAACAATAACCATGGACCATGCTAATATATCTTTGCTGTCTATTAACCTATTGCAATAAAAAACAATGTATTATTCTCTTATTACGGCACTAGTTTTAGCATTCACTCTGTATGTGTATGTGTGTCCGTCAGCACTTTTATGTCGTATGAAAGCTAAAAATTGCATCAACCGAATTCCATATTTTTTAACTTTGTGAACACCTTTAGATAAAAGGTCCCTTTTGATGTTTGTAATATTTGGACAAAAGTTAGGTTACAAACCTTATTTTTCTTTAAAATGACAAATTTTGAGAAACATCTTTTTGTGCTACAATTTCAACAAAAATGTTATATAGATTTTAATACGCTATTCTAAATATCAAGGACTCATTAAACATACTTTTGAACGCCTGATGCACGTTTCGTCTACATAAAACTAATCAGTGGCGCATGAATAAAATAGTTCGAAAGCCGAATAAAAAGCCGAGTTGTAAGGCTTTTAAAAGCAAACATTCAGAAATTCTGTACCAAATACGGCTTAAGCAATATATACCATGGGGTAGAAAAACGCTTACTGTTTTGAATAATTCAACGTTTTGTGTAAAGTAAATTAAATTAGTTGAAAGAAAAATCAAATACGAAGTTGTAGATGTTTATAAAAACCGAAAATACCACCAAGCAACGTGCCAAATACGGCTAAGGCAATCAATCCCTTTGTGTAGAAAAACCTTTGTGCTTCGAGTAATTCAATATTTTGTAAACAGTACAGAAAATGTAAATAACAGTGATTTTTGCTTTGGGAAGTATTTGATCTTAAGACTTTAAGTCTTTGTTTTAAATATCTAACAAATTTTGTGGACTATCTGTTTGTGTTACTTTTAAAATATAGGATTGATATGCTATTAAAAATTGTTTCCCGGTGTCAAAAAGGGATTTTTGTTAATGAACAATTGGGATAAGATTGGCCATAAAAACATTGTTTCAAAAATTCAAAAATATTGCGAATATCTTGTGTGATGAAATTCAACAATAAAACTTATTTGTTGTAGGTGAAAAAACAAAATAAGTATTGAGGTTTAACTTCTTTTTTAAAACAAGCACTAACGTTTATTTTCCTATTTTGGACGGTGAAGTTCCTTTAGCACAATGTAATGGTGTTTATTCGTCTTAAATCGTTCGCTTTGCCCGTGTCAGGAGTGACCCTTTGGATTTGAATGAACGTAATCTATGAATAACTAGTAAACTATTCAGTCAAGGATTTCGTTACCACGTATTACTTTAAACCGTTACTAAAAATGTTCATAGAAAGAAACATTTGGTTTGGAAGTTTGGCTGTTTCTGCAGAAAACTTATTACAATTGGGATAGCACAGCCACATTTTTATGGTATTTTGTTTACCGGGACTGATGCGATCCGGGTAAACACATATGAAAATGCACGGTCCTTCAATCTGCCGATATCTATATTTTGCCATTGCAGTCATGTTTTTTTTCTGACTGTTAATGACATCTTTACACTAAATCGATTGGAAGTTAAGCTGTACCTGTAGAATGCTTTTATTACAAACGGGATAGCATATTTTTGCGGTAATGTTGTTTACCGAGCCCGTTAATTTAGATACAATCCGGGTAAACCTATCGAAATTTATTCTTAAGGGTTCCAATTCAACACTGTTAGATCTTTGGATACTGTTTTTATCAGTATGAATATTGTTTTCGTTATCAGTAAATCAAAACTAAATACTATTGTTGTACATATATGTACATTCACGGTTCTACAATATGTCGATACCTTTAGTTTGGCCTTTCACAAGGTCATGATTGTTTCTTTGACTGTTAATGACGTCTTTACACTAAATCCATGGACGTTGGGTGTGCACTGATAGCTTTTTTAGTCTAAGAAAAATGAATTTTTATTAGTTATTGGATTTGGATTTGAACTAACTTTCAAAAACTGCGAGTACCCTATGTAATTTCCTTTGTGTCGTTTGTATTTTGTTAGTAGTTTTTGAGCTTTGTATCGATCTGATGAGTTAAGCCTTTTTCAACTGACATTTATAAAACAAAAAGTGTTGTGTTGTTACACCACTGTTCCAGGTTTGGGGAGGGTTCAGCGCCTCAAAAATGTTAATTCCGCTACATTCTATATGTGTTTGACTAAGGCAGGAGCCTGTAATTGAGTGGTTGTCGTTTGTTGCTGTTTGTCATATTTGGTTTCATCTATTGTTTTGTAAATTTTGTTCTTGTGTTGTGCTGTTGTACCTATGTCCAAGGTCAAGTGCAGGGGTGGGCGCCGCTTACATGTTTAACACCGGTTCAATCATTATGTGCCTGTCCCAAGTCAGGAGCCTGTTATTCAGTTGTTTTTGTTTGTTGCTGAATATCATTTCTTCTTCTTTTTTTTTTTATATGTTGTGTACCTATATCAAGCGGGTTTTTTTCTCGTTTGAATTGTTTTACATTTGTCGTTTCTGGTACTTTAATGGCTTACAATGCGATGGTTTTGCTCATAGATGAAGGCTGTAAAGTGACCTAAGGCTACTAATTTTACGTTATTAGGTCTCTGGTGGTGAGTTGTTTTATTAGCAATCAAATCACGTCTTCTAATTTTTTTTTAGAAACATTTTGTGGCCTAGTATGCCATTCAAAATCGATAATTAGGTATGATCAAATGTGCCAAAAAAACAGTTATGATGTGTTTATATAAGAATTAGAGGATGTGGTATGATAGCCAATGAGAAAACTATCCACCAGTCACCAATGACGTATGTTATTTAAGTCGCCAAAACGGAGTTTTATGGACTTTATGTTTTTTCCGTTCTTATTAGTATGGCACCCTCAACGGAGTGAGGGTGACATATTGCTATTCCACGTGTCTTTTTTTTTTTATTATCATTATGTCACCCTGACAGATGTCGTGTGACATATTGTTATTGTACGATTCTTTTTTTATGTCACCTTGACGAAAGTCGGGTGACATATTGTAATTGTTCGATTCTTTTTTTTTTAGTATTATTATGGCACCCTTAGCGGAGTTGGGGTGACATATTATTATTCTACGTTTCTTTTTGTTTTCTTATTATGGCACACTCAACGGAGTTTGGGTGAGAAATTGTTAATCTACGTTTCTTTTTATATATTATTTTTATGTCACCCGATCGACAATATCGGGTGACATATTGCTATTCCTCCTTTTTTTTTATATTATTATTATACCTCCACTTTTTCTCAGGCAGTTTTCTCAAAGTCAAAGAAACCAATTTTAATGATTGTTGACCATAATGAGGACCACCATCAGTAGAGTGGCAGTGAAACTTTGGAACTTTAAAATGGCCGCCGTTTTCATGGAAACGGCAAAAATGGAAGAAATATTTTTTTTGTTTTTGATGAATTACTTGAGTATGCCTCAACCTAAAATCATGAGATAGGTGTCCACCATATACAGGTTTTGGGTGATTTTTGGAATCGTTGGAACTTCTTAATTGCCATGGAAACTGGAAATGCTTAGCATTGAACGGAGTTTTGGAGACTTTATGCTTTTGTCCCGTTTCTAATAATTATTATTATGTCATCCGATCGACAACGTCGGATGACATATTGCTTTTCCTCTCTTTTTTTTCCCTATTATTATTATGGCACCCTCAACGGAGTTGGGGTGACATATTGTTATTCTACGTTTCTTTTTTTCTTATTATGGCACCCTAAACGGAGTTGGGGTGACATATTGTTATTCTACATTTCTTTTTTCCTTATTTTTATTATGTCACCCTGACGAAAGTCGGGTGACATATTGTTATTTGTACATCCTTTTTTTATTAGTATGTCACCCTGACGCAGGACGGGTGACATATTGTTATTGTACGATTCTTTTTTTATGGCACCCTCAACGGAGTTGGGGTGACATATTGTTATTGTTCCGTTCTTTTTTTCTTATCATTATGGCACCCTCAACGGAGTTGTTGTGACATATTGTTATTGTTACGTTCTTTTTATGGCACACTCAACGGAGTTGGGGTGACATACTGTTATTGTTCGTTTCTTTTTTTTATGGCACCCTCAACGGAGTTGGGGTGACATACTGTTATTGTTCGTTTCTTTTTTTTTCTTTTTCTTCCACACATTTTGTCCATGCTATTTCTCGAGATTGGTCAGACCCATGTTGATGGAACTATACCATAATATGAACCGCCATGTGAAGTTGTGCAAGAGACATTGGAATGGTTCAAAATGGCCGCCGTTACCATGGAAACTGCAAAAATGTAAAAAAATATTCAAATTCTACATCTTTCGTTATAAGAGGCAACCTCTTGAAAGTTTATGTAAATGTTGGCAGTGGTGCCCTGAGGTACCAACAGTACTTGGAATTTTCAAAATGGCTGCCATTGCCATGGAAACTGGAGAAAAGTTTAACATTGATCCTATGGGAAAAAACAGCAAAGCAGCATTTTCTTAAGGAATATGAGATCAAACTGAAACAAGTTTCATGTATATATAACATGGCATAAGTCAATGTTGAAACTGTTGTTGGAATTTTCGAAATGGACACCGTTACCATTGAAACAGCAAAAATGTCCAAAAATCTCAAACTGCTCCAAACTTAATGAAACTCATTATAAATGGTAAATGGTAAGTAAAGATAAGACTTTGGACTTTGGAATTTCCAAAATGGCCACCGTTGCCATGGAAACTGCAAAAATGTGAAAAATTGAAAAAATGCTCAAAACTGTCTACAAAATTTACAAACAAATATGTTGTAATGTATTTATGTGTAAATACTGTTTCAAATTTTCAAAATGGCTGCAGTGTAGTGGCAATGTGGGAAGGGTGCCATCCGCTATTGCTTGCAATGGCAAATCTAGTAATGGCACCCTCAACGGAGTTGGGGTGACATATTGTTATTGGTCGTTTCTTTTTTTTATGTCACCCTGACGGAGGTCGGTTGACATATTGTTATTGTTCAATTCTTTTTATTATTATTCTTATTCCACACTTTTTGTCCAGCTTAGTTCTCGGAATTGAATGGACCAATTGTGATGGAACTATACCATAATGTTAACCACCATGTGTAGTTGTGCACCTGACTTTGGAATAAAAAAAATGGCTGCCATTGCCATGGAAACAGCAAAAATGTGAAAAATAGAAATGTGCTCCAATTTATATGAAACTTCTATGATATTAAGAGACTCATGCACACTTCAACATGGAACATTTTTATTTCAACTGGGGGGTCTCCTTGGCATAATTTGAGGGGGGTGAATTTTTCATGGAACATTCCAGAACATTAGTGTTAAAATAGGTCTACAGACATTAAATGTAATATGATGGTATATTATTATGGGGAAAACAATATGCAGCAGTAGTTTGACTTTGGAATTTTTAAAATGGCGGCCGTTACCATGGAAACAGCAAAAATACAAATAATATCAAAATGCTCCAAATTCATTGGAATTTAAAACAGATAATTCTGTTGTCACGCATAAATCTGCATTCACTGATGGAAAATTTCCAAATGGCTGCTGTTTAGTGGCAATTGGCAGACCAAGGTGACATCCGCTATTGCTTGCAATGGCAATTCTAGTTCTTTTTATTTTATTCTTCCACACATTTTGTCCATGCTATTTCTCGAGATTGGTCAGACCCATGTTGATGGAACTATACCATGATATGAACCGCCATGTGAAGTTGTGCAAGAGACATTGGAATGGTTCAAAATGGCCGCTGTTACCATGGAAACTGCAGAAATGTAAAAAAATATTCAAATTCTACATCTTCCGTTATAAGAGGGAACCTCTTGAAAGTTTATGTAAATGTTGGCAGTGGTGCCCTGAGGTACCAACAGTACTTGGAATTTTCAAAATGGCTGCCATTGCCATGGAAACTTGAGAAAAGTTTAACATTGATCCTATGGAAAAAAACATCAAAGCAGCATTTTCTTAAGGAATATAAGATCAAACTGAAACAAAATTCATGAATATATAACATAGCATAATAGTCAATGTTGAAACTGTTGTTGGAATTTTCAAAATGGACACCGTTACCATAGAAACAGCAAAAATGTCCAAAATCTCAAACTGCTCCAAACTTAATGAAATCATTATAAATGGTAAATGGTAAGTAAAGATAAGACTTTGGACTTTGGAATTTCCAAAATGGCCACCGTTGCCATGGAAACTGCAAAAATGTGAATAATTGAAAAAATGCTCAAAACTGTCTACAAAATTTACAAACAAATATGTTGTAATAAATTTATGTGTAAATACTGTTTAAAATTTTCAAAATGGCTGCAGTTTAGTGGCAATGTGGGAAGGGTGCCATCCGCTATTGCTTGTAATGGCAAATCTAGTTAAGTCGCCAAAACGGAGTTTTGGGGACTTTATGTTTTTGTCCCGTTTCTTATTATTATTATTATTAGGTCTTTCCACTTTTCTGTGGAAAGACCTATTGTATTTGTTCTGATTATTATTATTAATTTTTTTTTCCGCCAAATTTTGTTCTTGCGATAAATGTTTGTTTCGCAATATGTCGCTTAGATATTTCTCATATTGTATCGTATAGTTTATGCGCTTTTAAATTTCACCCTGCTAAGCGGAACCATTTTCTTTGCAAGAGTTATCTCCCTATTCACTGTTTATCATCTGTGTGCATCTCCTTCGTAACAAAAAAAGATAACGACAATATTCTTTTTCTAAATTGTTTGTTACATCCTCAGGAATTTTTGCCTAATTTTGGATCGAAGCGATCCAGTGAGATCTTAAAGGAGTTATCTGCCTTTACCAAATTAATTTATCGTTAAGTTTTTGTAACACGTAAACCGTAAGCCGTATAGAAAAAATTTGACTAAAATGTTAGTCGCGACATGATATAACTGGAAAGTTTTTGTCAAAATGGTACGCGTCATTGTTTTAGGGGTTCCATGCCACTGAAATAGTAAAATGAACAAAATGAACTAATTATAGCCTCAAACTTTGCAGCTATCATGATGTATACATGCATCTTATCTTAATTTATCAACCAAGGTCCACCATTCTCCACCTCCCTCCCCTCCCCTCCCCCTCCCTTTTTTTTTTTTTTCTTCTACTTTGAGGAATCCCATTTCGCCTTGATGTTCAGTCCTGTACATTTGACTGTAAAAATGCAATCCTTCTGATGAACAAACTTCTTAAATAGAAATTCATTCCTGCAAAAATCGGCTCCAATTCATGTTCCCGTTAGACGCGGTCCGCTTGATTGAGAAATAAAATTCAATGACGTAGAAAAATCGTAAATATTGCTGAAATCCTACAATCAAATCTTTTAATCATGCATTGAAATACAAATCTGTGCTCCCGTAAACATGTGTACGTAAGATGCATGCATGATCCGTCATCAATGACCTGTAAATAATAAAACCAAAAGTGATCATGTTTGTCCGATCAGTACACATGTGCTCTGTTCAACGGTCTCCCCTGAAAACTCCATAAATTTAGAATAAAACATTCCATATCCAAATAAGGAAAATAAAACTTCCAAGATAAAATTTACTCCGTTTTCCTACAAATTCAATCAAAATGCATACACAACAAATAGATGAAAAATGGAAGTCCGAGGTAACATAGAAACTAGAGAAAATTTCTAAACGAATGATGCTAGGATCAATTTTTATGAGGACATCTCAGGCGTCCGTTTGGCTGTGTGGGATGTATAAGGTACGCAGTCACGTTCGATTAGAATATAGGCGTTATTTAAGTTAGCTGCGTCGCACAGAAAAAGTGCCATTCATGCAATCAATCAATCAATCAATCAATCAATCAATCAATCAATCGACCGACCGACCGACCAACCAACCAACCAACCAACCAACCAACCAAGCAAAAAAACAATTTATCATGTTTCGGAGGGGAAAGACCGTTTAACAATTGTTTTTAAAACAATTGATTTATATTTATTATTATTATTATTATTAACCCTAATTTGTCCGACCATTTTCTTCCAAGCCTTAAATGATTGAAACTTGATATTTGGTATGATGTTGGGGTAGTATCCCTAGGGGTGCATTTGCTATTTTTTATTTCAAATGGGGGTCATCTTGGCACTATTTGGGGGCCGGAACATGGGTGGGGTAATTTTTCAACTATGGATTCGCTACTGGTAGAACCTTTAAGTTTTGTGTAATACAAGAGACAGATGTCTAGGTGTCCATTCCACATTTTTTATTTCAGCCCGGGGTCATCTTGGCATTATTATAGGGGGTGAATTTTCATGGAACATTCTAGAACAATAGTCATGTGATAGTCATGTGATAGTGTTGAATTATTCATATGTACTTTATATGTTATATAATGATAGATTATTACAGGTAGCACCATCTGTAGCTGTATTTCGACTTTGGAATTTTTAAAATGGCCGCCGTTACCATGGAAACTGCAAAAATGTGAATTTTTTTTAAAATGCATCAAATTTGATGAAATTTTACAGAGATGTTAACGAGTGTATGTAAATTTGGAATTTGACTTTGGAATTTCCGAAATGGCCGCCGTTGCCATGGAAACAACAAAAATGCCAGAAATCTAGATTTGGACCAATCTTTATGAAACTTGACAGTAATGTGACCTGTCATGTGTAGATGTGCCATCCGACTTTGGAATTTTCAAAATGGCTGCCGTTACCATGGAAACTGCAAAAATGTCAAAAAATTCAAAATGCTTCAAAACTTAATGAAACTTTACACAAATGTTGACTGTCTTATGTAGATGTGGCATTTGACTTTGGAATTTCCAAAATGGCCACCGTAACCATGGAAACACAAATGCCTAAATTTGAAAATTGGTCCAATTTTTATGAAACTTGTAAGTAATGTGACCTGTCATGTGTAGATGTGCTTTCCGACTTTAAAATTTCGAAATGGCAACCGTTATCATGGAAACAGCAGAACAATTGTTGGGGGCCGTTTTGACGACTTTTGTGTTAACACAGGATTACTTGTTATTATTATTTTTATTATTTTTCTTTCACACATTTTGTCCGCTAGAGTTCTTGGAATCCAATGGACCAATGTTGATGGAACTCTACTATAATGAGGACCCCCATGTAAAGTTGTGCACCTTGCTATGGAATGGTAAAAGATGGCCGCCGTTTCCATGGAAACAGCAAAAATGCGAAAAAAATTAAAGTGTTCCAAACTGGAATATACTCCACAGTAATGTTAACTGGCATGTGCTGATTTGCAGTTTGACTTTGGAATTCTCAAAATGGCTGCCGTAACCATGGAAACAGCAAAAATGTCAAAATTTTCGAAATGCTTCAAACTTTATGAAACTTTACAAAAATGTTAAATGACATGTGTAGATGCACTCTTTGAGTTTAGAATTTTCAAAATGGCTGCCGTTACCCTGGCAATGGGGGAAGGGTGCCATCTGTTATTGCTAGCAATTACAAATCTAGTTATTATTATTTTTCTTCCACCTAATTTTGTCCGCCCGTTTTCTCAGAGCCGAAGGAACCAATCTAAATGATGGGGCACCATAACAAGGAACCCTGACTTTCGAGTTGCAGTGCAACTTTGGAACTAAAAAATGGCTGCCGTTACCATGGAAACAGAAAAAATGTGGAAAAAAAATGAAAATTGCAAATCCATTAAATCTTTCATTATAAGACCCAACTGAATGAATCTTTAATGGAATGTAGCCTGGCATGCCAAGATGTGTTGACCATATTTAGAAATTCCAAAATGGCTGCCATTACCATGGAAACTGGAGAAACATTTACCATTAGCTCCTATGGGAAATTCTTAAAAGTAGCATTTACTCACTTATAATGGTAGGTCAAATTCCATGATTCTTTCATGGTATATTCCTGGTCATCTGCCAAAGTGGCATCTGTCTTTAAAATTTTAGAATCGGTCACTGTTACCATGGAAACAGCACAAATTCAAAAATGTTTAAAAATTAAAAAAATGCTCCAAACTTGATAAAACTTCACAGAAATGTCAACTGAGATGTGCAGAGTTGCCATTTGTCTTTTGAATTTTCAAGATGGCCGCCGTTGCCATGGAAACAGCAAAAAAAACCAACATAAAACGCCTCGCAAATTTGAGGCAAAATTCTGTGATCACGATTATGTGCATACGATCAAATACAAATCCGTACTGCAAAACATCTTCTAGAATATGCCAGAAGAAAAAAATATGTAATTTAACGTGCTTCTATTGTATACAAAAATCGTGTTTTGAAGAGAAAATCGCCACCGAGAGAGAGAGAAACACTAAGAGTACATATCAGTGACATTTCTGTACTTGCATTAAAGTACACATCCGTGAATCACACACCTGCTCAAATATACACATTAGCTGAAATCAATCGATGAACGTGTAATTTAATTGTACAAGATAAGATACATGTATCGTGTGATACGCGAGCTTTTGAAGAACAAAATGAACAGTTTGTATGCCGCTCCGTCAATATATACACATGTTGTCTGTCCAAGGTCCCCTCTAAAAAGAATATAAATGTGCTAAAGTCCACGATAATATACTTGCGCATCACGTGACGCCACGTTCTTTCTCGCGCGTGGGTCTATTTTTAGATTATAAAGAATTCCCAAACTATGTATAGAACTCAAACTTATTCTACGGGAAGAGAAAAAAAGGGGGGGGGAATCAAAGACATGCCAATTCCAGCATGTATAATAGATGTGCCATTTGACTTTGGTACACTCAAAATGGTTGCTGCTACTGTGACAATGTCCAGTACAGGGTGACATCCTCCGCTATTGCTTGCAATAGCAAATCTAGTTATGTCACCCGATCGACAATGTCGGGTGACATATTGCTTTTTCCTCTGTTTCTTTTTCCCTATTATTATTAAGTCGCCAAAACTGAGTTTTGGGGACTTTATGTTTTTGTCCCGTTTCTTATTATTATTAAGTCGCCAAAACGGAGTTTTGGGGACTTTATGTTTTTATCCCGTTATTTATCATTATTATTATTATTATTATTATTATTATTATTATTATTATTATTAACCTTAATTTGTTCGACCATTTTCTTCCAAGCCTTAAATGATGGAAACTTTATATTTGGTATGATGTTGGGGTAGTATCCCTAGGGGTGCATTCGCTATTTTTTATTTCAAATGGGGGTCAACTTGGCACTATTTGGGGCCGGAACATGGGTGGGGTCATTTTTCGACTATTGATTCGCTACTGGTAGAACCTTTAAGTTTTGTGTAAT